GTCAGAGATCGGCCATCATGATTTGATCAGTACTTGAAATCTTAGTTTCGCCCGAACACTTCCTTCAAGCTGCACTAATAACTGAGAACATTCTGATCGGAACACATTTCTCCAGAAAGAATTTGTGTAATTCTATCAAATCACTTATCCTATATACCTAAATTAATGTACCAATCTCCTGCCACGTGTCAGAAAAAGCCAAGATGTTGATAATTGTTTAAATGTTGCATCAAGCGCTCCTAAACAATTGATTATAGAGTGATTACCTTCCATTTTAGTAATTTCCATTTTAGTTTGCCATGGAAAGCGTAGCATTGATGTCTTTGGCACATATAAAAGATCAGATGTTGAATTCAACAGGGATAGGCTGCCCAAGAGGGTCAATTTTGAAAAACGACTCCAGAACAGAGAAGAATTAAGAGTGGCATCTACGCGCTTCACACCCCCAAAAGTTCCAGCAATCTCTTTTTTTGTAGTGACAACTGCGTCAGATGATGCGATGTACATTGATAGTAGACGAAGACAAAATACAATAGCTAAATGGATAACTAGTAAGCAGATGTGTTGGCGAGTAGACAGAGCAACTCGGTGCAAAAGGGCTCATATCCCGAGGTCGTCTATCAGTTTTCCACAGATTAACTCCCAGGTTTGTTAGGTGAATTCTACAACACAATAATGCTCATTTGTGATGTTGGTTCAAGAGCATTAGCTACTAATTTTTCCATGGAAGGACATAATTCTCATCGATTCATAATATGTTCAATTCTTATAAAAGAAATAAAATTGTTCAAACACTTCTTTACTCTTTGTTAGCAATCTGGTATATGAAATTTCACTACATTCGCTCAAATATTTCTAAGAGAACATTAGACCCATAGTTATAGGTCTTCCATAATTATTGCGCAGTGCGCTAGTAGTCAAAAAGTGTTGGTAGACGGCTTGGGAACGGGACTGTGTATTACAACTAAACTAAACAAATCCTGAAATTTTCAGATAGCCTGATTCTGAGAGCCTAATGTTTCATAGTGGACTTTGCCCACTTCACTCCGCATGCGCATTGACTAGTGGTGAACCGTCACTCTGAAATTCGACCTCCCAAAGAGCTCAGGTGAAGAGGCGTTTAAAATCACTCGCTGAGAACTCATCTTTATCTCCTGATCGCACAATATTCACGAATGTGGCCATATGCACATTGCATTTGGGTGCGAGTAAGAAATGAGGTTTATTTTTTACTAGTTTTACTTTGATTATAAAGAAAAGATTCTTTCAAATT